GTCCATGTGATGAGTCTAAAGAACCGGTCATTAGAGTGGGCCACTTTTCACCTATCTCTTACATTTAATAACCAAGTGCCACTTTAGATTTTTATCTAAGTATTTCACTTAAATGAACAAATCATGGATGTTAAGTTATATTAACTTGAAATAAAAGTGTATTTAAACATGTAGTTAACATGCTATTTCTTGCCATGAATTTTATAAGGGTGACCAAATTATGGGTGGTTTAAGTTGATTTTTTTTTTTAACTGATGTATGAATCCAACTTTTGCTTATGGCTGTCTTAAGCTCATTTCACTGTCTCTTAAACTTTTGCTAGAGTTCCATGTAACACCCTGCCTGGCCTTGTATTGCTGTAGAACTCTCTTTGGCGGATTACTATAAGCTCCAAAGAAGAGTTTTTAAAAAAAATTGTGAACTCCGGAGCCAGCGGATGGCAAAGCAGTTGTGTTTCTGGACTCCCACATGGCTGCCTGTGGTTTGAGTCCCAGACCTGAGGCTTAAACCTCATGCATGCTGGGCATGTGTGCATACATGCCCAGGATCCCAGGAGGAGAATGGAAAAGGGATTGCAGTGTGGCCATCCTCCCTGGGGGGGGTGATTTCTCACCTTCCTCTCACTGTGTCTGTTCCCCGCCTCCCAGCACAAAGGCAAAACTTCTTTAAAACAAAAACTTCCCACATGGCCAACTGATTGCTTTGAGTTCCAGACTCAGTGGCTTCAAAAACACACTGGATAGGTGCAGCTGTGTCCCCAAGATCCTGAAGAGAGAAATGAAGACTGCATTAGGAGCATTCCCCCATGGCGGGTGCCGTTTATTTTCCCTCCCTCTTTTTTTCTCTGTCTCCACCAAGCTCAAGTGCCCTCTAACCAAAAAAATGTAATGCTCCTTGGGAACTTTCTTTTCAGAGTCCAGATTTGTTGTCCTGAAACCCTTTCTTACACTTAAGTCAACTTTTTTTTTTTTCTTTTATAAATCAGTGAAATTATTCTCTTTTCCCTTCCCTATGGACACAACTAAAAATACTTAAGATTTTCATATAGCATAGTGTTTTTCAACAGAAAAGCTTCGCTTTAATCTTGTGCTGTAACCTGTGATAATTGAGTTGTCACTTAAACCATCCATAATGGGCTATAGTCGAAAGAGAAAACCCTGGAATGTCTGACTCAGTTCAAATCATGAGCACGTGGAGCTTGAGCTTTTATCTGCATTAACAAGGAATACTTTTCAGAATTATCTGGTGGATTACGTTTAAATCACAAAATGCCTAGCCCCAAGCTGGGCAATTGTAAGTGTATAATAACTGGTAGAATAAATTGGTAATAAACTGTATTTAAAGCCAAGGATTTTTATATCTATTAATATTTATTATATATTAATCCATTTTAAATATAACAAACTCATTGCATGTTAACATAAACATACATTGGTCATACGAAAAATACTGGTTTACTGCGTGAAATAGCTTTTCTAAATGTTGATGCATTATACGTATTCTAAAATATCTGTGAGGAACACTAATCTTATCGGCAAAATCTTGAGTTTTGGGGAGCTTAGATGAAAGACAGGTACATTTCCCAAGTACTGTCATTGCTTTCCTTTACCTGTGAAGAAATTGTCTGCCAAACCCCCAGATCCGAGTCACTCGCTACCTTATCCAATCATTCTTGCAAGTAAAAATGTTCCGTGACGAAGAACAGCTAGTGCAGCTCATGACATGATCATGCAAAGTCTTCTTCCTTTCAAACTATCCCCATACTTTGGTGTGTAGCAGAAATGTTTATTACACAGAATGTTAAGAATATTCATGAGCAATGAAGAATAAATACAGTGACTTTAACTGCAGGAGTTGGTACCCCTGTTCTGATCGCGGCAGGTGCCAGTTTTTGCTACCATTGTTTTTTTGTCAGTGCAAATATCAACATAGTAGAAAAGTAAATGTCTTAGTATTATAAAAATGGTTTTGACCCTGCAGAGATCCCCACAGACTCTGCAGAATAAGCTTCAGGAAAAAGAAAATACCTTACAAAAATAATTTTGACTGGGACCAGCAGTTAGCATAATGGCTATGTTGCTGGACTCCCATGTAGCCAACCGTGGTTCGAGTCCTGGACCCAGTGGCTTAAACTCACGCCAGGCACATGTGCGTGCATGCCCAAGATCCCGAGAGGAGAATGGAGAAGGGATTGCTGCACGGCCATACCCCCAGGGAATGATTTCTTGCTTCCTGTCTCTATGTCTCTCTCTCTTTCTGGCGAGCGCACGCGCCCTATAGCAAAAAAACCTCTCAAAAAAAATTTGTTTTGACTTTGTAGAGACTCTAGAGTGTACTCTGAAAACTGTAAGATCATGGATCCTATAAAGTGCAGGCAACTAGAGAACAGCATGATGTATTTCCAGAACTGCCAGAATTCCTATACTCTTCAGCCATGATTTATTACAGTTACTTGAATCAGCCACCCTAGGCCATCCTGCTGGGAATGACTGTTTTTAAATTTGAAGCCATCACTCTGAGGCAAGCCGCAGAAACTACCAGAGCCAGAAACACTCATTTAGGATTGAGTTCAACCCAGTTACATGTTGTTGCATCATTTTTGAATCCAGTATAAACATTCTGTTTAGAAACAGTTGCTAGCATGGCATCATTCACAGCTGCAGTTTCTCCTGTGCTGTTACATGCCAATGTAAACTCCAACTTGACTAAATATTAGAACTTTCAAGCCTGACTGCAGCCTTAGTTTTTACTTTTTCATTTGCCAGAGGGTGGGGTGTGTGCACTCGCAGGAAATAATGTGAGAAAGCACTCCCACATAGAGATAGTCACAACCCCAATCCCTTTCCTATTTCCCTTCTTTCAGGATTTTGGGCACACATGCCTGGCTTACTTTTTTGAGAGATTTTTGCTATAGGGCATGCGCACTCACCAGAGATAAGGCGAGAAATCACCCCCAGGGGGCTGACCACACCACAATCCCTTCTACATTCTCAGGATTTTGGGTACACACTTGCACACCCACCCGCTTAAGTTTCAAGTCACCAGGCCCAGGACTTGAACCGTGGTTGGCAACATTAACCATTACAGCATCTGCAGATCCCGCCTGGTTTGATTCTTAAACTGCAGTGTCCAAGACGTGAACCACTCAGCGACCTGGGATCCAGCTGCCTTAACCACCACACCAGCTGGACTATTTCCACCTTCAAAGTCCCTGTGGTCATTTTGGAAGTTACAATAGCTTCACTGTTAAAAGAGTGAAGCAATGGGACCAACAGCATAATGGCTATGTTGCTGGGTTCCCATTTAGTCGACCCTGGTTGGAGTCCCAGATCCAGTGGCTTAAACTTACACCGGGCACGTGTGCATGAGTGCCCAAGATCCCGAGAGAATGGAGGAAAGAGATTATGATGTGGCCCTCCCCCGGGGGGGGGGGGGAATTTCTTGCTGTCTATCTCCTTCTGGCTAGCACACATGCCCTAAAGCAAAAAACCTCTCCCAAAAAAAAGGGGGGGAGTAATGTAATTTGTACCGGCTGTGATTTAGGACACTGCTGTGAACCTCTGGCCAGTGTGGGGAAACAAGAAACAACATAGGTAGGTATTCAGTGCTATAAAACCTCCACCTGGAGACAGATATTAGGGTGTCAGAAAAGTCATGACACATTTTTTCATAGAAAAATGCCTTGACTTTCCCAACAACCTATTACTAAAAATCCAGAGGGTTAGTTCCTAAACCATGAGACTCCCTTGTGATTAAACCACGAGTTATTAATAAATTAGGCTATCAAGCTTTCCAAAAAGTAACTACAATTTGAATTCAATGGAACTACCCTCGATCCTCCCATGAAGACAGCAGCATAGTCTGAGGGAAGAAGAATGATCAACACAAAAAGAAACCTGTCATGCACAGGGAAATGCAGTTTCCCTGCTTTTTTTTGATCACGGACCGTTTTTCTCATCTTAAATACCTGCTTCAGGGACCAGGTGGTGGCACAACTGGACCAACATGGGAAGGTCCTGGGTTCATATCCTTGGGACCACTCTATACAGACCAGATGTGTGTAAGCCTGTGGTTCAGGCCGGCTGAGATGGGGTGAATTACGGTGTGAGAACCCTGTTGAGAGTGCCTGTCTTTTGCTCTCATGCAATAAATAAATAAAATGTTTTTTTTAAAAAAAGTTTAGGGCCAGCTCATGGCCTGGTGGTTTATTAAAGCAGCTGAATACCACATGGCTAACCACTTGGCTCAAGTCCTGGACCTGGGAGCTTTAAAAACATGCTAGGTGGAACCAGCAGATGGAGTAATGGTTACATCATTGGACTCCCATGTAGTCAATAGTTAGGTCCCAGACCCAGTGGCTTCAAACTCACGTCCAGCATGTGTGTCCCCAAATCTCAAGAGAATGGAAGAGAGGGGACTGCAGCATGGACATTCCCCTGGAGGGTGATTTCTCGCTGTCTGTCTCTCGCTGCCTCTCCGGGAGCACATGCACCCTTAGAGCAAAAGAAAACATGCTATGCCCACATGTGGGAATGTTCAAAATTCAAAAGGAGGGAGAAAGAGGACCATGCCCCATGGGGATGGTGCTATCTCTTTCTCTTTCTCTCTGGCAAGTACATGCACCTTCTGGCAAAAAAATTAAAATAGATAGTATGGATCACTTGAATCACCAAGATTATTTAAATAACATTATTGTTTTTAGGTTTTTATCATTAAGGTGCATGAGCTCTCCAGGAAGGGGGGAGGGAGAGGGAGGGAGAGAGAGAGAGAGAGAGAGAGAGAAATCACCCTCTGGGATGATGGCCACACCGCAATCCCTTCTCATCCATTCTCCTCTTGGGATTTCCCCCCCTCTCCCCTGTTGGGTGTTGGGCCCCCCAGCCACAAACACCCAGAGTGAGTTTCAAGCTGTCAGGTCTAGGATTCAAACCATGGTCAGCCATGTGGGAATCTGGCTCTTTAACCACCCCATCACCTGCTAACAACAGTGTTTTTTAAGCCCAAGATGACAACTTTGTAAGTGCCAAATACATGATAGACGAGATTTTATTTTTATGGCAAGAATATTTAAATTGGGGGAAGAAATTGTTTCAAATGTTACTGACAGGCTTCAAACAGTTGTGATGGAGGGATCAACATCATACAAAAACCCACCTAGTAAAGTTTTAGATGACCAGTAACTTTATCAATGAGATCCGCTGGTCCTGGCCCAATTCCTAGGACAGTTCGAGAGCCTGGTTCAATCTGAGTACGCCCAGCATCTTGAATTAAGCTCACAGTCAGTCCAAGTGTTTTCGCATGGGTCAGTAACTGAATCAAGGTTTCTTCATCAGGAGCTTTGACCACCACTTTGGGCTGGCCGCAGTATTCCCATTCTTTGAGCATTGCAGGATTTCTCCTTTGAATTTGCTTGTAGGCAGAAACGGCAGCATGGGAGCACTGGGCAGCCACTTTTCCTTTTCCCATTTTTAAGTCATTTCGAACAACAAGAATCATTTTATATTCCCCACTCTCTCCCAAGATGCTTGCTTCAGTCCCAGTCTCTGCATTTGTGCCACTTGCTGAGCTTTTGGGGAACATCCCAAAGCGTACCCGAAGGCCCCAACCCAGGCACATGCCACAAGCAACCCCAGCAGCCAGGCTGAGTGCACTCGGATGAGACAAATATTCCATCATCGATGATTCGGAGAGCACCTTAAGAGAAGGAAAAAGAATTACCACTATCAAGTGGTGCAAAGTTACAGGCTTATCAGGTAAACATCTCGACTAGAAGCAGAAAGCAATACACTGTAGGGTTGTCGTGAAAGTCATGATGCATTTTTGCATGGAAAAATGTCATGACTTTCCCTATGACCCAACAGAACTGTATGATGGCACCTAGATGAAAAGCCCAATATTTTGGATCATACCCATGTGCCCTATTTTCATCCGTCCTGTGTGCTAGGAAAGATAAAAGTATCCACATGAAATAGTTAGGTCATGTAGAATCTTCATGTGCGCAGTGTCTCTCTTCTAAAAACTCTTTAACTTTGTGGAGAAATGTTGTTTCAACAAGATTTCTAAAAGATCTAAAGAAACCAAAATAACTCTTTCAAGAATACAGTTCTTATCTGTGTTTTCATAATGCAGTGGTTCTTAATGGAGACAGTATGTCCCTTCAGAGAAGTCGCCCCTTGTCACAGTAATGAGCCTGGGGTGAAGTATGCTACCAAATTTACTAGGCATGAGCAAGGATGCTAAAAATCTCATGAAGTAAAGACTGTCCCACTGGACATTAGTATAAGTAAAAACTATAAATACCTAAGATAATTAGAACCCAAATTCATTTTAGATACGAACAAAAGTGTTTTCTGGCAGGCTTTTTTTTTTTTTTAAGATTTATTTATTTAATCCCATTTGTTGTTTTTTTATTTTTGGTAAAGATTTATTTTATTTCATTTTATTTATTCATTCAGTTATTTTAATTTGACCAGAGAGAGAGACAGAGACAGAGAGAGAGAGAGAGCAAGCTACCAGGTCCAGGACTTCCACCATGGTCGGCCATGTGGAATTGTCTAGCACCTTAACCACACCACCTGCTGGTTCCCATTATTATTATTTTTTTAATTTGACCAGAGAGAGAGACAGAGACAGAGAGAGAGAGAGAGCAAGCTACCAGGTCCAGGACTCAAACCCCAGTTGGTCATGTGGAAATCCAGTGCCCTTATCTACCCTGTCATCTGTCAGCCCCCAAAGCACTTACTGCTTTGGAGATTCCAAGGGTCTTTTTCCTTACTTTTATTTATTTTTTAAATGTGTTGTAGGGCACATGTGTTCATCAGAGAGAGAGACAAAAGGTGAGAAAGCAAGCCAATAGGTATGGGACTCGACTCGTGGTTGGCCATGTTGGAGTCTAGTGCCTTTAACCACCATACCACCTGCTGCCCCTTTTCTGGCACTGATTTTTGTAGAAGTATAACTATCATATAAAACAAATGAAGATCATCCTTATCCTTTATTATTTTAGAAAAATCTGTTACCCTAGCAAAGCTGTTTATAATACTTGCAATACCAATAAGATATCTTTATCAGTCTACATTTGAGGCTGTTAGATTCATAATGCTTCTATGTACTGGTGCAAGCAAACACCAGATTTTCATTGAATGAGGTGGTACTCAATCATTTACGTGCACAGAGTCACCGTGATTTTAAGTGGTAACCTGCTTCTAAGTGGTAACTATGGAATTAGATAGTGCATAATCTGCATGGCATAGATGACATCCCTGGGAATACTTATTTTATCATAAATTTCCTTTTTTATGTTAAAGTTAATACTTTTAAGTTTTAAAAATTATTTGGTAGGCAGATTATACAGTATTATCAAATATTTTCATTTCAGGACAGTACAGGGGATGTTAACAAACTTTCATTTAGCAGTATATTTTTAAGGTTGTCGATGTTGTGGCATCACCGTTGTGGTATCACTACTTCATTCCTTTTTACTAATGGGTAATATGACATTACATGGATGTACCACATTTTATTTATCCATTCCGTAACTGATGGACTTAGGAGTTGTTTCCACAATATGAATAATGTTGCTATGAACATTTCCATACAAGTTTTTTTATAGACATGTTTTCATTTCTTTTAGGCATACACCTAGGAGTCATAGAGTCATCGGACAGCCTTAGGTTTAACTTTTTGAGGAAATGTCAAACCATTTTCTGAAGTGGCTTCACCATTTTACTTACATTCATTACAAACTCTTATAAAAAGCTTGTGTTGGCTCTGATAGGGACAAGAACCATGAAAGAAAACAAACACCTTGGCATACAGATCTGCATATAAGTCAGATGTGTTTCCACAAGTGTTAAAGCAGGACTGGGAGATACCAGGCTTTTGATGAGATAAGCCTGGTCAATAAGCCTTACACTCAATCTATGAAAAAAAGAAAACATGTCTGTAATTAAAATGTTTCTAACATCCCTAAGTTTCTTTCTTTCTTTTTTTTGATTTGGAGAGGTTTTGCTACAGGGTGCGTGTGCTCGCCAGACAGACAGAGACATAGAGACAGAAAGCAAGAAATCACCCCCCAGAGGGGATGGTCACGCCGCAATCCCTTCTCCTCCATTCTCCTCTCGGGATCTTGGGCACACATGCACATGTGCCCGGCGTGAGTTTTAAGCCACCGGGTCCAGGACACAAACCGCAGTCGACTACATGCGAGTCCAGCAACACAGCCATTACGTTAACTGCTGGTTCCCTAACATTCCTAAGTTTCTGTAAGTCAAACATAGTTAATCAAAAAGTAAGGCAAACTGATAACCCCATACTTACAATTTTAAATTCAAACCCAGCCCTTTCAGGAACAAAGTCAATTTCCATGAAACTACTTCTTCATGTTATAAAACTATCTAAGTCCTTTAGGATCCTTTACTTTTTCACTTTCTGAAACACCTACCAAAACCTCACCCTGCATCTGTTTCTCTGTGTGCAATCCTCTCTGGAGCTAACTTAAGTGCCCAACTTCTATAGAAAGGAAATGGGATGACAAGAAGGTGCTGAGGAACATATCCCCAGAAGAATATGTGGTCAACAGTGTTGTCTAATACATTTGGTCCACTAGTTTTAGCAGAAAAAGCGGGGAGGGGCTCAGAAACTAGTATGAAGATGGGGTCAAGAAAGAGTGGACTATGTGCCACCAGGGTTGCAAGATGGCTAGGCAAAAACTTGCTCTATAAACTGACTGGGTAGCTTTTGGGGAAAAAGTACCCCAAAACCCAAAGGCCATTGCTAACTATGAAAACCAGGAACAAGACCTGCACCTTTGGCGGTCATACCTAAGAACCCGCCAGCTACAAACTGGGCTTACTACGAGGCCTACGTGGCCAAGGCTGGCTTGGTGGATGACTTCTAGGAGAAGTTTAATGCCCTGGGATTCCTGTGCTGAAGGATAAATACACAGTCCAGGTGGATGTTGGAGAAAAGAAAGATGTGAAAAGTTGTGCTGAGTTTGTATCACTCTCAAAGGCCAAAATTAAAGAATATAAGAAATAGCTGGAGAAGATAAGCATAATTCCATTTGGTCAGATGACCATTGAGGACCTAAATGAAGTCTACCCAGGAACTGCATTAGACAAGAAGTACCCTTATTGGCCTCACCAGCTAACTGATGATTTATAAAATCTGCATCTGGGAGGATGTTCTGGTCCTTGTCTTACAAACTGGACATTAAAAATAAAAATAATTACACAGAGAAAAAAGAAAAAATGAAATAGAGATCAGAACAAAAAAGCAATGCATATTAGGGGACAGGTAGGAGAGAGAGTTTTTTGGTTTGTTTTCTAAAAAGAAAGAATGAAACTATCTAAATTTCAATGGGATGAAGAGGAAAGGTAGAAATTGATGAAGGACAGTTAACAAAGCAAAGCAGTAGGAGGGATGAACTTAAGACTTTAGGAAGGGACCAGCACTGGTGGTGTGATGGTTAAGGTGCTGGACATTCCCACGTGGCTGACCACAGTGCAAGTCCAGGACCTGCACTGGCTTGCCTTCTCACTATCCCTCTCTCTACCTCTCTCTCCCTCTGGTCAAATTAAAATAAATAAATGAATAAATAAAATGAAATAAATAATTCTTTAAAAAAAAAAATAAGACCTTGGGAAAAGCTTTGCTCTTGAAAGGAAAAGGGGCATCTTCCCCAGTGTGAAGCTTTAGATGCAAGTAGATCTGAGCATTTGAAGGCAGGAAGTTACTCCTTAGAGGAAAGAGGTCCTACAGAAGTCAAGAGAGAGGAGAGAAAATACTGAAATAAAAGTTGCAACCAAATATAGCAGGATTGAAATATAAATCAGAGTAAAATGCTAAAAACACAGTTAAGGTACATGATCTTATAACCGTATCATAACCACCAAGGTGATTTCCTCCCATCATACTTAGAAGCCAAAAGACAGAAACTATCTAATTACTGACTCTACAAACACAAACTAACCTGCATCCACTCATTCTCCATCATTCCCTCCTATAAGAGTTTGATTTATCCAAATTGGAATTCTGCCAGGAATAAGGATCAAAATACGAGGATGCAAAGGATTTATGATAAGGGGAAGAATATTTGAAATAATAGACCACATAATCCATATTTTTAGTGAATGACTTAAGGACAGAAGGATCTACTCTGCTCTGGGGTCTTGGGGATCCTGCACAATGCAGAAAACATCCCTTCTTTCCTGGAACTAACATACTGGTAGTGGTTGGTTAAGTGGTCCAATTCCACTTTTGAATTTCCTCCATTTTATTTTAATAAAATTGTATATTTTCATAGCTTAAGTTTCAAAGATACTATAATATGTATGTCACTGGATCCACACAACAGTGAACAAATATTTACTATCTACCTATATACCAGACACACACCTTGTCAAGCAGAGAATACAGAGATGAACAATATGTGCTGCTGCCAGTTGTTCACAGATAGGAGGAAGGGAAAGATAATTACAAAGGTGGTGGGTGTTATGAAAAGGCATTATGGGATTTAAGAAGATCAGAGAAGGACTCTTGAAGAAGTGACATTGAACCTGCAACATGGGGAGAGTTTTTAGTCTCTGGCCTGGCAGATTTGTTCTCTTCTTTCAGACCAGAGTCTCCTACCATAAACATGCTCTGTCAAATCCTGAGGCAAGACAAGAAGCATCCGAGTTAAGGAGCTAGGCACTTCCTATCAATAATTGCAAATGAAGTTGCCTCAATTTAGGCCTCAACTTGAATTTTCTGTATCAATCAATGGTATGTTTTAAAACTAAACTTTTTCTCACTTGAAACCTTGAATCCAATTTTCACCCATCTCATTCTACCTCTCTGATAGCTTTACGGGGTCCAACAGCCACAAGTGCTTATGTAAACTGAGATGAATTAAAATGAAATCAAAATTTAGTGATTCAATCTTTCTTAGTAACATTTCAAGAGCTTAACAGTTCAACAATTTGCAAGTGACTAGTGACTACTCTATCAAACAGTAAAGATACATTGGGTCCTCAGAAAAGTCATGACACGTTTTCGCATAGAATAGTATTTCATGACTGTTTCAATAAAACACTTTCATCACTGAAGAAAGTTCGACTAGATAGTTGATCAGTATGCTCACTTTCCATTCAATCAATCAATTTCCATTCAGTGTTTACTGTGCTCCAGGCACTATTCTGGACCTTGAAGACCACTGAAAAAAGTTCCACTTCCCATGGAGCTAACATTCTAGTGATTCTAATGTGAAGACACAGACAAAAATAGTTTGTGAGATAAACAATCTCATTTAGTTCCAAATTATCTTATGCTCAGGACCAGAAACCTCTCCTTGGCTCCAAACTTGAACCTCTAGCTTCTGCCACATTTCACCACTGAGAGGCCTATTAAGTATCATCCTAAATCTCATCCTCCACTCAAGTCCTTCCCCGTCAAGATTCCTTTTTCTGTATTATTGATTTGTAAGTAAACCTGGACTTTTCTCTCTCCAATATTCTACACATCCAGTCACCAAAACTGTCTGTCTTAAACTAATCTACCTTTACTTCTAGTGCCAAATGCACGTCTCTCTCTCCAGTACTTCCATATTTGCTTCACTGTTGCCCTAGTTCATTTTAATCCACATTGCCGTAACTGTACTTCTAAAATACATGGACGTTCCCTGCTCAAATATCATTAGCTAATGCCTACAGAATAAAATATAAATTTCTTAGGAAAAATGTGGCACCACACAACTGGGTTACAGCCTACTTTATCCTTCTAACTTCCTATCCTGCTACACAGTGCACCGTCTAGACACACCGAATTACTGCGTCCTTTCAAGCAAGAGTCACCCGAAAATATTTTCTATTCTTCTCCTTCCAAAACAAGCACCCAAACAAAAACATCCTACTTGTTGTAAAGTGCTACTTACAAATAACTACTGTACAGCATAATCCCAGCGTCCACTGCAATGTTAAGAGATTAAATATCTTTTTTAGACAACATCTCTGTGTGATATGGGTGTGCAAAAGTTTTGAGTCTATTCTTGGAAACCTTCTCTTTCCACGTAAGGTCGACAGCTTGAAATGCTGTGGGTATTCAATAAACATTCGGTAGAGAATATAAGGCCTGCTTGGTATTTTCTTATTTTCGGAAAGAGAATCGATGCTGCCTGAATGGAGGCTTTGCTGCCAACTAGCCAAGTCTGAGTTCTCTTCTCCCCAGCAGGTTGGGCCTTTCTCCCGAAGCAATGCTCGCACAACAGGAAAAGAGGGATCCAGCACCCAATGGCAGAAGGCAGTTTACCAAAGAAAATGATAAAGGTTATAGGATGAGGTGGGAAGAAACGTTTCAACCAGAGAGAGAACGGAGAAAGATACTGCCTCCTTCGCTCTGAGAAACCGACCTACCTACTCACACTGGCCCTTCCAGTTCTTCTGAGTAGCAAGCACGCGTCTCTCGCTCCAGCTACTTCTTCCGGGGTTCCTGGACAAGTTCCGGATCAAAAACCACAAAGAGAGCAGTCATTCTTCCTCTTGACACACCCCCAGAGCCCAAACGGGGAGCAGCCCTGAAATCCCGCGAGGATCAACCGAGGTTACCGAAAGGAGGGGGAACGTTTCTCTTCTGGAGGCGGTCTCCGGGAGGGGGAAAGGACCGGAAGTGACGCAAAAGAGTTCCGGTTGGCCGGAACCCAGCGGCGGGGGGGGGGGGCGGGCAGGAGGCCGCTTCCAGGATCCTGAGATCCGGAGAAGCCAGGGTCAGAGCGGGTAGGTAAACGAGCACCCGGCTTTGGGGATTGGAGCCTGAGATTGTCCGCAGAGCTTGGCTTCTTTCGGAGCTCTCCTGTTTAGACAGTGCAGATCTGGGGCACCGAGATTTTCGACTCCAGCGGTGTTTTAGAGCTCTCGCTGCTGGTGATCTGGATGTCTCACCCTGGCGGTGGCCAGGTTAATTTGAGACATCTCCTCACGGTTGGTCACCGGGACATTGAAACAGACACCAGACTCCTGGCTGTTCGCTGTCCTCTCCGAGGACTTTGAAGTCGTACTAGGCTTCTGTGGAGAGAATCCCTTCCTCCCTGGGTGTCCAGGACATTGGAGTAAATGGAGGTCTGCCTTGCTGACGACCGAGCTGTTCCTTAGATCTGTCAGTTTGGTTCTTTCCTTCCCCAGCCTTTTAGCTCATGATGCTAAAGGCTCCCGAGCAAAATTCTGGCGTGCAAGTGCTGTCATAAGAGTTAGTAATACAATGTGGTTAAAGGAATGGGCCTTTGCTCTTTCTGTGAAGACCTTGCAGAAGCCTCTCTCTGACCTCCCACTTTCCTGAAAAATAGTAGTCTACCGAAATCTCCGACCCTCAACCTCTATGTTTCACTACGCTGGAGGTATTGCAGTAAAACATGAAGGGCCACTCAGTCTCTTAAGATTACCAAAAGCCGTATGTGGCCCTGTATCACACTGCTAGATTGCTTATGACCTCCAGTAGACTTTGAATAATCTTTCATTTTCCTGTTACTCCATACAAAAATCTGTAATGCATTGTATTGACTGGCACTTTTATGCATGCCGGTAACATCATCCTTATCCTAACTTTAATATTGTTTCATGCTCCTTTGTAGCTTTTCATAGATTTTGTACATTACATAGATCATTTGGAGAAGCTTGTACAAGTATTTCTAGTGTTGTAATGATAGAAAAATATTTCTGCTGCTCCTACCTATATCTGTATTGTAATTAGCTCTGATTTACTTACTGTGTATTATTAGCATTAGATGATAATAATAAACTATTATTTACTAGGCAGCATTTTATACCGCCTATTATAGATTATGTATTTATTGACTTTTGGAAAACAGATGGTTGTATCTAGACAAATGTGTGGATGTGGAAAGACTTTTAAGTGGAAGTATTTTTATATTTTACTTTTTTGCATCCATTATATTAGAGCACTGAAGTGCTTTTTTTTTCATTTAAGGGATATATCCTGATTGAATTTATTAGTACAGTTTAATTCTTGTAACTTATATTTCAGAAGAAAATACATATATAACCAGGTTTCGGAAAAATTTTAGTGAGTGGTTTGGTGCCTTCCAGCAGTTTCCCTTATAACTAATTAAATCAGTTTGTTTAATTTACACATTGTTTTTATTTTTGAATTAGGTAACTTTTTTACACTGACTTAGAAACAAGGAGACAAGGTTTTTGAGATGTGGATTTTTTTCAAAGAATTATTTATTTAACTCTATTTATTATCATTATTTTTTATATTTGACCAGAGAGAGAGAGAGAGAGCGCTGCCAGGTCTGTGACTCAAAAATTCTAAAAATTAGATGTATCATTATTTTAACATCTGGTGAACTTGCTTATGGTTTGTATAACCACTGAATCTGATCTTCTGATCTTTTTCAGTTCACTTATTCAATAACTGATTATCCAGGTTTTCTTACTTTACCAATTTTGTCCCACCTTTGGCTTGAGTCATCTCTTTTTTAGGATTTTGAAAATCGTTAAACTTGAAATCAGAAGACCTGGGTTGAAGTCTGGGCTCCAGCATTTATTGAGTAATGGTTAGCATGTTACTTAACATTCTAAGATCTAGATTGCGCTAGTAAAAGTACTGATTACTGTATTTCATAGGATTGTCACAAGGATTAAGTGAGATAGTAAATGGGAAACCTATATAAATGAAAATATGGTGATGTCATTTTATGCTGAGATGAGTTATATCAGTCTAGAATACTATTTGCATCGTTTCAAAATTCAGTGTTTCATACTGTGTTGTTCTGTTTATCTGAAAATATGATCACACGTTCTGAATGATCTTAGCTCTGCTTTTGAAAAACATAACGCTGACAAAATAGTTTGCTACTGTGATCCATTGAATTAGCCATCTTGGTTAATAAGTAGATGGCTCAAAAGTGAGTATGGTTTTGCATTTGGAAATTAAAACTTGATCTGTTCCTGGTTGTCGTATATTATTACTGGAAAATTCCCAAATGCAGAAAAAGTGGAAATTTTTGGTGCTTTTATGTAGTTAAAAAGATTAGAAGTAGCCCTACTTACTTAGTATGTTAAGTAAGGAAATATTCTTTTTTCTTTTTTAAAAGAATTATTTTATTTAACTTTATTCATTTATTTCTTAATTTTAATTTGATCAGAGAGGGATAGGGTGAGAGAGAGAGAAAGTAAGCTGCCAAGTCCAGGACTCAAACCGTGGTCAACCATGTAGGAGTCCATTGCCCTTAACTATCATGCTGCCTGCTGGCCCCAGGAAATATTATTTCACTGAAACCCATATTGAGAACTGGAAGGAACCACTGTGAACATATAGTTACATTCTTCTCATTTACTAGAGGAGAAAATTGGGACCCAGAAACCATCACTAATTGGCTTGCCTGAGGTCTTCTGGCTCAAGTACTGCCAGAACCTGAACTGGAAATAAGTTCTCAGTATTCTTTTTGACTTGCCAAAGTTGTCTCCAGGCATCTTGACATAGCGTGATAATATTTTCTGATATACATGAAAATGTATTCTCTTATTAAAGAAATCAAGCTGTTGGGGCCAGCAGATTAGGTGTAGTGGTTAAAGCACTGGACTTCCACATAGTTGACTGCGATCTGAGTCCTGAACCCAATAACTTGAAAACACGCTGGGCATGTATGGGTGTGTGCTCAAAATTCTGAGAGAAGAATGGAGGAGAAGGGAATGTGATGTGGCCATCCTGCTCAGGGGTGATTTCTTGCTTTCTATCTCTCTCTCTCTCTCTCTCCAGAGAGCATACATAACAAGAGATCTGTCAATCTATCTACATCCTATCTAGAGAGATATAAACATGTAAGTATATATACATACAAACTTTTTTTCCTTTTTTAGCTGGTTTAGTCTTATAAATTGTGGAAAAACAAAAACTGCCTGGCAAGATTTACAGTGGAATGGATTAATGAGAGAAACTTAGTTTTATTTTTATATATGTGTGTGTGTGTGTCTCCTTAAAAAGATTTTTGCTGTAGGGTGTGTGCGCTCCCTGAACAGAAAGAGACAGAGAAATAGAAAGCGAGAAATCACCCCCTACCCACTGGGGGATGGCCACAGTGCAATCGTTTCTCCTCCATTCTCTTCTCAGGTCTTGGACACACTCGCACATGTGCCCAGCATGAGTCACCAGGTCTGGAACTCGAACTGCAGTCAACTACATGGGAGTCTAGCAATCTGCTGGTCCCTTAGTTATATATTCTTTTTTTTTTTTTTTTTTTTGGGGGGTTTTTCTCTAAGGCGACAGCGC